TAAAAAACTGGCTTAAGTGGGAATTACGCTTGTTCTTGGAAACAAACAAAAATACTTAAAAAGCAGGGGGTACAGAGGAAGGGGAATAAAATGCGAGGGGTCTGGGTGTTGCTGCAGAAGCCAAAACACAAACATGAGCATTTGTCAGAATCGCTTGATGAAGGGGTTCCTCCCCCAGAGATTGGTTGGTATGGAAGAGGCCCGAGAACTTGCATTTTCACAAGATCCATCCAGGTGATGCTCTTGAGACCACATTCCAGAACTCCTGATTGATTGGATCATGATCAGATTTGTGGACAAGATAGAAAAGACATAATGGAAGGTGTTTAGGGGAATGCTTGTTCTGATTATATTCGTATACTGAATTTCAGTGTAAAATTGGTTTTTTAGAATAGGGTCTTCAGTCGGCAGTTGACAAAACACTGGTATAGTTGATAAACTTGAGTCTTAGAGATTATTTTTTGTTGAAAGCTTAATATTTTTTAAAGCTACATTATTGAAAGTCAGTGACTTGTTATACCTTTCCTTGTTTTCTCTCGAATTCTCGCTTCCTTCTGTGTTCAACAAGCAGAACAGGATAACTCGGACAACAACACTATCTTTGTGCAAGGCCTGGGTGAGAACGTCACAATTGAGTCCGTGGCTGATTATTTCAAGCAGATTGGCATTATTAAGGTACTTGGGGAGCAGAGTGGGGGCTTTCTGTCAAGTGTCAGCAGGCTCTTGGATTTTTCCTGCATCAGTGAAAGCAAGCGGCCTCAGGGAGCACCGGCGTAGATCTATTGAAGGATCGTTACCTGTTTCCGTTTTTAAAAACATCTTAACGCAGAAAGTTGCCCTCAAGTTTGGAGCTTACCTTTAGTATTATTTCTAGGTTATGAAGTGAGGAGTAGTTGTAAACCAAGGTTTATTGACTAAAGGTACACGTAAGATGCTGAGATGGGGTGGGGGGGGGGAGATGACCCCCCCAAACTCAGTGCCATCAAATTGATTTTGATTCATAATGACCCTCCTTAGGTTTCTGAGGGGGTATCTCTGCAGAAGTAGATTGCTCACTCTTTATTCTGAAGAGTGGCTGGTGGGGTTTGAACCACTAGCCTTCTGGTTAGCAGTCAGATGTCTTAGGCACTATGCCGCCAGAGCTCCCAAGATGCTGAGATAGGAAGTCATAATTGTTATTACTAGAGGGGCACTTAGGAGTTCTGGTAGCATAGTGCCTAAGGCACTTGACTGCTAACCAGAAGAAGGCTGGCGGTTCAAACCCACCAGCTACTCCTCAGAAGGAAGGTTGGGTAGTCTACTTCCTTTGTGATACTGCCTTGGAAACCCAAGGGGAGGGGTCGCTGTGAGTCGAGTCTGACTCGATGGCATATAACAACAACGGGAGCTGAAGTGGGAGCCAGAGTGCAAGTGATGCTTGCACAGATTCTGGAGGAGGAAGGCGTGAGGTGGGTTGTATAGTGCTCTGTGAGACAGTATTGCCTCTTTTTTTTTTCCCAGACAAATAAGAAAACGGGGCAGCCCATGATTAATCTGTACACAGACAGGGAAACAGGCAAGCTGAAGGGAGAGGCAACGGTTTCATTTGATGACCCACCTTCTGCTAAAGCAGCTATTGACTGGTTTGATGGTATGTACGGGAAGAGGGATGGAAAACAGGGCAGCCAGGTTTACATTTTGAAGGCTCTTTTTATTTAAGTATATTCTCATTTTTGCTTATCTTCCTTTTTCAGGAAGGCAGCATCCTGTCTTGCCTTGATTGTAGGCAGGTGTGTTTTTGGACCCACAGATTTTGAAATAAATGGTCTCATTTTATCTTCCTTTATTTCTTTAGGTAAAGAATTCTCTGGGAATCCTATCAAGGTCTCCTTTGCTACACGGCGAGCAGACTTCAACCGGGGAGGTGGCAATGGTCGTGGAGGCCGAGGGCGGGGAGGTAAGGAACTGTACCCTGCAGTGTGGTATGGAAAGGGTGTGGAGGAGAGTAAAGCACTTGCATGGATGCAAGGGTTAAATCAATCCTTGGATTGAGAGTGGACCCATCTTTGTTGCATGTGTGCAAGGACCCATGGGCCGTGGAGGCTACGGAGGTGGTGGCAGTGGTGGCAGCGGCCGAGGAGGATTCCCCAGTGGAGGAGGAGGTGGAGGGCAGCAGCGAGCTGGGGACTGGAAATGTCCTAATCCGTGAGTGAAATACTACTTTTTTTGTCTCCGTCTTCTGTCTTCCTCCTCTTGAGCAGCTGTGTATATCCACTGACAGTACTATGTTAGGGTTGTGTGAGTGTTTCTAAGCTAAAAAATGTCAGGGCTGCACAGCAGATTTAGCTGAGTGCTTACTTAGGTAATGTCACTGTAGTGAAAATGGTATTGGATTGGGTTCATTGGTCACCTGTTGTTCCTAGGTCTGCTTAGAAGCAAGCCATCTTTCCAAGGCCTCAGTTCTTCACTGAGGTGTGAAGGATTAAACTGTCTGTAAGGTTATTAGAGTCCTTTCTGGTTTAGACCTTACCTGTTCCCCACCCATCCAAACTATAACTGCTTTTTCTTCAGTACCTGTGAGAATATGAACTTCTCTTGGAGGAATGAATGCAACCAGTGTAAGGCCCCTAAACCAGATGGCCCAGGAGGGGGACCAGGAGGCTCTCATATGGGTAAGAGGCTAAACTGGTAAAAGGAGTTGGAATCAGAAAGTCCTGACCTTTCAGCAAGGAGGCCGGGGGATTGTTAGAAGAATTTTGGGGCAGGCGGACCGGGGGGAGGTAGGTAGGGTGTTGGGGAGATGTGTATTTATCACATTTCTTTTGTCCTAGGCGGTAACTACGGAGATGATCGTCGAGGTGGCAGAGGCGGCTATGATCGGGGCGGCTACCGAGGCCGAGGCGGGGACCGTGGGGGCTTCCGAGGGGGCCGGGGTGGTGGGGACAGAGGTGGTTTTGGCCCTGGCAAGATGGACTCCAGGTGAGTAAGACTGTATTGAAATGAAAGAATAGTTAGTTGAACAGAGATCATGGGATAATGAAATAGGTTGTTATGAGAGATTGCTTCATTTTTAGGGTTAGATTGGACCGGAGCTGAGATTATAACCATGGTGTATCAGGAGAGGGAGGGAAGGACCAAGGAGCTAATCTGGAGACCCAATCTGTTTACCGTGGGGATTGGTTGTTGTTATGTGCCGTTGAGTCGGACTCGACTCATAGCGACCCCTCCTTGGGTTCCCGAGGCAGTATCATTATGGAAGTAGATTGCCCCCATCTTCCTTCTGAGGAGTGGCTGGTGGGTTTGAACCGCCAGCTTTCTGGTTAGCAGTTGAGTGTCTTAGCCACTATGCTACCAGAGCTCTGTGGGGATTGGTAAGAGGGGTCAAATGGGATGTTCCGGGTGGGGGAGAGAGCTGCTACTAACTCGGGCCTAACGGCTCCTCTTCCCTTGCAGGGGTGATCACAGACAGGATCGCAGGGAGAGGCCCTATTAACCTGGCTTCCAAGGATCAGCCTTTCGTCGTGTACCCAGTGTTACCCTCGTTATTTTGTAACCTTCCAACTCCACGGTTTTTGTGTTGGACTATGTAATTGTAACATACCTCTGGTTCCCATTAAAAACCATCGTTTTAGTTAAACTTTGTTCTTCTCCTCCCTTCACTCTTGGAGGATTGAGGTCCAGGTCAGGACTTTGGGAATTTCTCCTCCTTCAGATCAACCTGTTTGGCAAGAGCTGCATGGATTTGGAGGGAATTGTTTCATACTTGGTCCAGGGAAGAAAAGATTAAGGAATTGAAAATACAGATTAAACTTTCCTTTTATGGAAAAAATGGGGGTAAATGAAGAAGACAGTTGATGTCGTGTGTATTGCTCATAACTTGCCCAGCTGGGTGGGAGGGTTTTTCTTTCTACATAGATTTCTATGTGGTGAATTTTGGTGGACTCAGATTCGGCTTTGGGGCAGCATCCAACTCTGACCATGAGGAGGGAGCACACAGCCAGTCAGAACGTAGAGTGACGTGAATGCCTGCTGTGTGCCGGGTTGTGTGGAGATGTCAGCCCTCAGCCCTGGAAGGCAGAGTGCTCACTTCACAGGCAGAAAGTGAACGTGGGTATACTGTCCTCTTTGAATCAAAGTGGAGCCAGAGTTAAGTCCTAGTCGTCTGACTCCATTTCTGTTTCTAGCATTTCTGTTCTAAAGCCGACGTAAAAGAGGGCCTATCAACTGCCCTCGTTCACATTAATGCAAGAGGATGTTACATTGAGGGGAGGAGGTTTAGGGGTGAGTGGAAATAGTAGGGGAAAGACGGGTAGTTTCTGGTATTTCAAGGTAAGGCGGGCCCTCACCACCCAGGTTTTCCTGGGGATGGGGCTTGGAATCTGCTTTAGGGAGACATCCTCCCTCTACCCAGAAGGCTTGTCATTGTTTGTATTAGGGCATTTTTGGCTTGAGCCTTCCTGATAATGTTGAGTATGGAAAGCCCACTTTGAAGTGTGGTGATGGTGATAGGGAGTGGGTGGGGCTTATGAGTGTCTCTTAGCCTTACCAGATGCTGTTCAAATTGAACCAAATTGGCCAGTCCTCAGCCATGCACATAGCTGTTATAGTCTTGGTTATAGAAAACTAGAAGTGGCAGCTAGGAGTACTGTACAGCATAGTTCCTAAGAGGTAGCTTCAGAGGCACAGCTTACAGTTGGGGTGTTCTGATATGCTGGGAGTGTTTTCTCAGGAGTTGCTTTATCCTCGAATTTTTGGTGCGTTGAGGCAGGGGACGCTAAGTCTGTTAAAAGGAATAGCTGCTTTAACTTGTAATGAGTCTGCTATCTAACCGAGAGTAGATGGAGAAAGGCTGAGGTTCTCAGGCAAGGCTTTGCCTTGATTCACTGAGCTTGGTACGTGGCGAGAAGCCAAGCCCTCTGGTATGTGACAGTGGTTCTCCCTCTTGTGGGCAGGTTGACTCTGCTGTTTCTGTTGACTTAAAGTGTGATGTGTGGGCGCCTTGATCCATAACTCAGTTTGTTCTTGCTGCTTCACCTAGTTAGAAATCTGATGTTAGGGTTTAGGTGTGGGTCCTGCTGAGAGAGGGGGAGGTTGAGTTTGCTTATAGACCTGTTTACTGGGACTGTTTGTGTCAAGTTCTTACGTCCTTTTGAAGGCTGTTCATGAAGCTCTTTAGTGATTGATTGACCTTGCCCTTAAATATAAGGAAACATGGAGGGTGGATGAAGGCAATTAATAGGAGGTAATATCGGTGAGAACATGAGAGCCGTGGGGTTTGGGCCTTGGGCCTTCCGCATCCCGCCTTAGCTTAGTACTCCACCTGTTGTAATTACTGAGGGTTTGACGTGAGCTCCTTGTTTTCTGAGGAACAAGTGACACATTAAAAACAGTCTGTGATCTTGAGGTAGTAGGTGTCTGGCTTCTGTGTGTTGAGGTTGGAATTGGGACAGGCCAACTAGGGAATGAAGAGGGAGTAGGGAGAAGTGTGCTTCAGGTTTGTGCCTCGTCCCTTGATAGTTGTAGAGGTTTGAGACTTTTTCAGTGGTTTTTCCCATACACTGCCTTCCTGGATTTTAGGACTCTGGAATGGGACTGAGATTAGGTCCGTGATGGGTTGATTGCTGGGAGTTAAGGGCTGGGGTGCCCTATGAGACTTGAATTCCACCTTTGCTATCTGGGCACGTTTCTTCCCACCTCCAATACCTAGTCTCCTCCATGGAGTCTGTTACCAGATAGATCTCAGAAGAGGTGGGATCCCATCTGCCACCATTCCTCCTCAGCAATCCTTTCTAGAACCCACGCCTACCTTAGGGCCCTCAGTCTTTGGAAAGTTCCACTCCCCATCACCTTATTGGCCTATATCTTTGAATAACTTTAGACTTCGAAGAAAGCTTCCAAAATACGAGAAGAGTTCTTCTACACATTTTCCAGCATCCCAGTGTTAATGTATTACGTAACCTTAGAGCACTGCTCAGAACCTCCTTTCATGTTTGTAGTTTTTTCACCTCCCTCCTCCTCCTGTGCAGGCTTTGTGGTGCTGGCACGTAAGAACTGAGGAAGTCATGTGAAGTTGATCTTACCAGCAGATCCTCCTTGGGACTTTGTTTTTGGTTGCAATTTCTTGGGTTCTCAGTTCTCTAGTTAAGGGTGTTTGGAGACCATTGAGTTTAAAAGTCTCAGTGTCCTCAGTGCAGGAAGAAGGTGAGAGAAAAGAAGTAGTTCATGAGCAGGAAATGTGGGAGCTTGTCTGCTTGGATCGTGTCTAGCCCGAAATCCTGGGCTTTGTGTGCTGGGAGGGCTCAAGAGGGGGAAGGACGAGAGCCACCAGTGTGGGGACTGGCGACAGGAAAGGAGCTGGAAGTGAAGGTTTCGGATGTGCTGTGCTGACCTGAACGGAGCCCTGGTGGCACAGTGGGTAAGAGCTCGACTTCCGAGTAAGAAGTCGGCAGTTCAAATCCACCAGCTGCTCCATGTAAGAAAGATACAGCAGTCTGCTTCCTTAAGAATTAAAACCTGCTGCCATCAAGTTGATTGTGACTTACAGCCTTAGAAACCCTATTGGGCATTTCTCTCCAGTAGGGTTGCTGGAAGGTGGGATCAATTCATCGGCAGTGGGTTTGGGTTTGGTGCTGACTTGAAATGTAGTATTTTATAACAGGGAGCCTAGGTAGATGTCTAAGTGGAGAGCAGGGTCTG